CCGCCGTGACAAGACACCCGGAGGACCTCCAGAGGACAAAGGACCTCCAGGCTCAGCACGCTCAGGCTCAGCACCCCTAGGCTCAGCACCCCCAGACTCAGCACCCCTAGACTCAGCACCTCCAGGCTCAGCACCCCCAGGCTCCGCACGCTCGCGCTCAGCACCCCCAGGCTCCGCACCCTCAGACCCAGCAACCCCAGGCTCAGCACCCCCAGGCCCCGCACCCGCAGGCTCAGCACCCCTAGCAGCACCAGAGTCAACAGCTACCTCGACAGGCTCGACAGGGTCTACCTGGGACACACATGAGGGGGCAGGACCCTGAGGGGGGAGGGGGTCTACCGGAGGAGTACTTGGTGCTAGGAAGAGTGGCGGGGGGGGGGAGAGGGGCAGTGCGGCAGGGAAAGAGACGGTAGTAAGGAACCGACTCGTCAAACGTGACGTCCTGAGAGGACAGAACACGACGCGAGGTGGGGTGGTAAAACTGCCAACCAGGCGCGTCAGGGGGGAGCCAAGGAAGACGCAGGGAACAGCACGGGAGGACAGCTTGTCCGCGGAAGAATCGCGGAAAAAAACTCGAGATCTCTAGACGCGGAACACAGACGCATCGCCAACCTTCCCCGTCCACCGCAGAGCAGGTGTGGTCTCCGGCATGGAGACATGGGGCTGGAGGTTGAGCTGATGCGCAGCGTACTGGACCGCGAACGGCCACAGAAAATGGGGAGCGGCCGCATGGATCATGGACGTACGAGCGACGTCCATGACCATGCCAATGCGGCGCTCAGCAATCCCATTTTGCTGTGGGGAGGCCGGAAGCGTGAACGTCTGGCGGATGACCTCCGCACGACAGAAGGCCCGCAGAAGGTCGGAGGAAAACTCACCACCTCTGTCGGAGTGCAGACGCAGAACAGGAAGGTCCGAGCCGAAACTCTCGCTGAGCTGGCGACGGGCAGCGCGGATCCAGGTGATCAACACCTCAGTAACCTCACCCTTGCGGCGTAAGGGGAAGACTGTGGTGTAACGCGAGTAGTCGTCAACGACCAGCAGAAAGTAACGCTCGTGACCCTGTCCACGGACGCGGGCTGGGCCCCACACGTCCATGTGGAGAGTCTGCAGGGGAGCCTCTGTCGAAGGGAACTCGGAGGAGTGAGGAGTAGCACGCTGCCGTCCCTCGACGCAAGGAACGCAGGTAGGGGCAGGCCCCGGTGGGAGGGGAGGGAGAGACCGGGGGAGACCAGAGACAAGGGTACGGGAGGCCATACCTCGGAGACGAGGCAGGGAGGGGTGACCAAGGCGGTGGTGCCAAAGGAGAGTCTGGTGTGACAGGAGACGACACGAGCAGGGGGCAGACTCCGGACCAGACCTGGACGCGGCAGCAAACACTTGACCAGACGCGGCTACCTGACCAGACGCAGCAACCGGAGGAGACTCAGTAGTCAGTGTGTACAGGCTCGACCCAGGCCGACGGGTGAACGTGGCCAGGTGGCGGCCCGTCCGAGTACACGTACAGTGGGTCACACGCTGACCTCCAGGAGTGAACTGGTCAACCCACACGTCCTGGAGGTCAGCTCCACTCACCAAGTTCGTAGAGAACGAGGGGAGGTGAAGACCCGACAGTGAGCCAGACGGGACCGCCGGACACGGCAGAACCGTGGAGGAGTGCGCAAGGACTGGGCCCCCAGAGGGGTCCGCCAGGGAGTCTGCAACCGGCCGACTGAGCGGCGTGAGTGTGGTGCTGTCGCGAAAGAAGGAGCGGGAAGCACCTGAGTCAAGCGTGAAGGTGTGCAAGGCCTCAGCAGGCGCAGTACCATAGAGAGCAGACTCACTAGCACCTGGAGCAGCAGACTCACTAGCATCTAGAGCAGCAGCCTCAATGCCCGGGTCGGGCGGAACACACAGGTAACAGTCACCCTCAGCACTATCAGTCACATCATACATGGCAGCAAGGATAGCATCGAAATCAAGATCAAAGATAGCAACACCATACCTAAGCAGATCACCCCAGCGAGGGAGCTCAGCGGCGTCAGGAAACTGTGCGCTCCAGGCGTCAGACAGGCGACCGAAACAGCGCTGCGTCGTGTGTGGCAGTCCGCACGTCTCTCCACGGCGCCCGCCGGTGCGGAGAACGTAAGCGCAGGGACCAGCACCCCCAGACCTCCCACGCCCAGCGTACCACTCACGAAGCTGCTGGGGCGACGGGGCCTCACGGGAACGCGGCTGCTGCTCTCTCTGGCTACCGCCAAAGCCTCCACGCTGCGCGGCTCCACCCCGACCAGCACCACCGCCGCCGCCACCCCCACTGCCGCCGCCACCCCCACTGCCGCTGCCGCTGCCGCCACCACCTCCACCGCCGCCACCGACGCCCCCACTCCCGCCACCACCCCCACCTCCACCCCCACCCCCTCCGCCTCCTCCACCGCCACCACCGCCGCCCCCGCCGTCCCCTCCACCACCCTTGCCCCCCTTGCCCTTGCCGCTGCGGCGCCTCCCACTAGGAGCAGACGCAGCCCCGACCTCCTCGGTGCCAACGAGGTCGACAGCAGCAGCAGAAGCAACAGAGGGCAGAAGGGGAACGGGGGAACACCCCTCAAAGAAAGGGGCGCGAGGGTCGTCGCGAGAAGCTCCTACAGCGACTATGCTAGTCTCAGCTGCAGTGAGGCGCTCCTCGAGCAGGTCAACGGTGAGCTCGGTGGGGCAAAGGGAGAGAAAGTGGTTCCTGACTGAGCGAAGAGAGTCAGGGAGACGGGTGACGAGGTAGAAGAGGGTGATGTACATGGGGGGGGGGGGGGGGGGGTCTTGGCGCAAAACTCGGAGGGAAGCGCTGCGCGGTAGCGGGTGTCACTAGTGCGGAGGTGAGTGATGAGGTCAGCGACTGTGGCAAAGGCGGCCAGGTCAGGGAACAAGTACGGCAGCATGAGGCGGCTGAGGGCAGCAGTGGCAGGGGAGGAGTAGCATGCTACGACAGCGTCATACAAAGACTTAGCAGTCTTGTACTGGCCAAAGTGCGCGCGCTCAGCAGACGAGAGGTGACTACGAACAACAAGGCGAGCAACAGCGTCACGAGTAGTCCACTGCGAGCGAATCGTACTATCAGCAGTGGCAGCAGGTGCAACAGAGGCGCCGGACGTGTGATCGAAAAGCGAGACTCCGTCCCTAGAGTCGCACTGAAGAAAGAGCTGCAGGCCATGTACCCAAACGTCGAAATCAACCGCACGACCCTCAGCATCGAAGGTAAGAACAGTAGGGCTAGCCATGGCGGCAGTAGTAGCGGTAGCAGCAGTAGCAGCAGAAGCAGCAGTAGCAGCAGAAACAGCTGTAGCAGCAGGAGCAGCGTGGGCAGGGCAGCGCGGCTCAGTAGGGCAGGGCGGCGCGGCTCGGCTGGGCGGCGCGGCTCGGCTGGGCAGCGCGGCGCGGCAGGCAGGCGGGCGCGGCGGCGCGCTTAGCAGGGCGGGCGCTTACCAGGGGCGGGTGCAGGGCAGGGCCGCGACGGGCGGTTAGGTCAGGGCCGCAACGGGGCGGCTATAGGGCAGGGCCGCGACGAGGCAGCGGCAGAGCAGGGCCGCGACGGGGCGGCAGCAGGGCAGGGCCGCGACAAGGCGGCTGCAGGGCAGGGCCGCGACGGGGCGGCGGTAGAGCAGGGCCGCGACGAGCGGCTGAGGGCAGGGCCGCGACGGGTGGCGGCAGGGCAGGGCCGCGACGGGCGGCTAGGTCAGGCCGCGACGGGCGGCTAGGTCAGGCCGCGACGGGCGGCGACAGGGCAGGGCCGCGACGGGCGGCTAGGTCAGGGCCGCGACGGGCCGTTAGGGCAGGGCCGCGACGGGCCGGGAGGGCAGGGCCGCTACGGGCAGCAGTAGGGCAGGGCGCGCGACGGCGCAGGTGAGGCAGGCGCGAGGCGCGCTTCGGGCAAGGCAGGAAAAAAAAGGTTTATCGTGGTGGGCCCTAAAAAAAAACGTTCCCACTAGGGAACCTGCTATGAAACCATGTCAGAATCAGGAAAGAAGAATGACTAGAATGACAGCACTACAAGGTTTGTATAGCAAAACCTAATTGGGCTGTACCCCATAAGGAGTGCCCCACTTGGGCCTGTGCCCACTCTGCCTCACTTGCTTGTCTCTTGATCTAGCCTTGCCATTGTTGTACACTGCTATATATCTGTATTCCTGCATGTTTACACTTGCCAGGTTGTGAACAGTGTACTGCTTTTGCTATTATAACTCTGCATGTGAACTGACCTTGTGGCCGCTTGCTTGTGCTCGGACTGTGTGGTGATCTTGAGATCCATCCTGAACTTTGATTTGTTGTTTCTCTTGACTGGTCTTGTGACAGCTTGGTGTTCTTGCTGTTTCCCACTTCGCCTATGGGGGGGTGTCAAAACTCATTTTGTGGTTATACACTGTAGTGGGGCATCCTGTAGGGGTAACAACCTTTTTAGGGTTCATACTTGTATCTCCATTGCTGCTCAATGCACTCATTCCTGCTGCTTAGTTTCTAACAGTTCGGCCGACATCCACGATTCCGAGGCTACCCCGCGTCGCCTTCGGTTTTCCCTTCGCCAAACCTGCACCCAACCTCGTATTCCCGAGGTTCACACCTAGCTACGGTTGTCACTATAATATCACGTGCATTCATTGTATTCTCAGTTCAGTTAGTCACAGCTTCTACATTCGTTTTCCGCGCAACAATGTACAACTCATAACACTGTTGCTGTACATAGTGTCGTGAGGGTTCTTTCCAAACCAAGATGGGTAACCCTGTTTTTGGAGATTTCAAGTCCAGGAATCTTGAACTTATACATTCGTGTTTGAGCGGGATCAAGCTTCAGTCAATCATCCCCGCCAGTGCACTCACGAATTCGCGAGTTCCACAACCCATGGGAGCGGACAAGGCAGGCACTTCCACAAGCGGGCACCATCTTGGAGTGTAGTCTAGTACGCTGTTAGCAGCACGCGGCAGCACTGCGCATATCACATCAGCCGAAGGCGTGCGCGCAGACCGCCTCGGACATGCGCATTCCGGACAGCCGTCGCACGGCGCTCAGCCCCTCGCTTTGCGCGCGACTCGTTTGCGTGGCGCTCCCCTCACGGCGCTGCCTGCTGCTGGGCGCGCTCGTCCTGCAGCTGCTCGCCCTCGCGCTCCTCCTGCCCCGCCTGCCGCCCATCCCCCGCCACGCGCTCTCAGCAAACCCCCTTCCGCGGACTTCCCCTCCCCGCAGCGTCCTACCGCGCGATTCTCTCCCGCAAAATCTCCGTGGAAGACGTGCGGCGGAGCGGGAGTGGGGAGGGGAGGAGGCGGAGGGTCTGGAGGAGGACGGGGCATGGCGGCTGTACCAGCAGTGGCGGGGGGATCTGATGGGCGCGGGCGCAGGGGGGGTAGCGGGGAGAGAGGGGGATAGGGAGAAGGAAGGGGATGGGGGAGGAGAGAAGGACGCGGAGGTGAGCAGGAGCAAGGAAGAGGTGCGTGGCAGAGGAGAGAGGGGTTAGTGGTGATGCTTCTGAGCTTTTGGGTGCCCTCTGCATTGCTTCGCCCGCTCCCTGCGCCTTTCGCGCTTGCTTTATGCCTTTCTCTCCTTTAGTCTCCCACTTACGCTTGCTCCCCGTGTGCTCCTCCCCTCCATGTCCACTGTGAGCAGCAGCAGGGGGGGGAGTGGGAGCGGTGTGGGCGCGTGGGGGATGCAGCGAGTATGCGCAGTGCGGCAGGGATGATGGCGGACGACAGGCCACGCCACACCATGCCCCAGCAACTCACACCTCGCAACACGGCAGGCGGTGCGGCTGGGAGTGGTGGGGCGCGATACCTGATGGTGGAAGTGAATGGAGGGCTGAACCAACAGCGCACAGCGGTGAGGTGCATCCTTCCTTGCTCAAGCTGTCCATGTGCTGAGAAGTAAGCAGGAAGGGAAGCAAGCGCCGGGTGCAGAGCCATGGTATGGTCCCTGCACCAGCATGGAGCACTATTACATTGCCAACACCAAGGCGCTTAGGGTGGGACACACTCTTCTCATTTGCACACTGCACTGCTGGGCGTGGGCTTGACCGTGAGCGTTCTGTGGTGCAGGGTTGAGCACGGGGTGAGCACGGGGTGAGCACGGGGTGAGCACGGGGTGAGCACGGGGTGAGCACGGGGTGAGTGCGTGCGGGGTGAAGAGCAGCAGGGGCAGCACAAGCCTGGTGAGGGATGGGTGAGAGGACTGTTGTACCCACTTGGGGTGCTCTGCTGGTCGGCGTGGGCGTGGGCATGGCATGGCATGGCTGCAGCATGGCAGAGCACCTTTAGGGCAAGTGCCTCCCTGCCATCGTCACACCTGCTCGCAATGGCCTCTTGGGCGCATCAGCCATCGATGGCAGAGAGAGCAAGTCGGTTGGGTGGACACAGCATGGCCCACCCGTGTCACTTCGTGGCACCCATGTGTCGCTGCTCTTGCTTCACTGCTGCGTCCACCCAACTCCTGAACAGGCGCATGAGAGCGACATGCTCTCGCATTCCACTGATCTGATCTGTTTCGGCTCTCCGCTCTTGTGCACCGCGCACTCGCACCAAGCGCCGTGGGGTTGAGACTTCCTCCAGCCTTGCCTTTCACATCCCGTACGGCCGTGGCGTCTGCTGCTCTGGAGAGCAGCGCAGTGTGGCATGTGTAGGGTCGCTTGCATTGGTCACCAACGGTGACTCACAGTCCGGGAGACCTGAAGCAGAGGCAATAACGGAGCAATCTTCATGGCGCCCTCACAGCCTGTGCAGTTTCCCATGGCCATCGCGGCCGTGTGCTCTCACCCACAGCAGGCGCACGTATCTCCCCCACTCCTCGTCTTACCTCTGCCAGTGACCCAAGTCTGGCCGCGTGGTGGGGGAGAGCAGCTACATTGGCTCACGTGTGTGTACATGCACGTGCTGTCAAGGGGCGTGAGCAGAGCACGCATGGGGAGGCTGACCTCGTGCTCCTCACCCATGGCGTGTGTGTGTGTGTGCGGTGGAACTCTCACAGGCGTGTGCGTGCTGGTTTACTGTGGCACAGTTACAACGCTGGTTAGGGTGTGCGTCATCACGGCATTGATGGGCGGCTGCGATTGCAAGAGCAGGTGGCAGTGGCACTCGACCACAGGCGGCCTTCCAGCAGCACCCCAGCACGTGGATGGGCTTGACAGCACTCCAGCACGTGGATGGGCTTGACAGCACTCCAGCACGTGGATGGGCTTGACAGCACTCCAGCACGTGGATGGGCTTGACAGCACTCCAGCACGTGGATGGGCTTGACAGCACTCCAGCACGTGGATGGGCTTGACAGCACTCCAGCACGTGGATGGGCTTGACAGCACTCCAGCACGTGGATGGGCTTGACAGCACTCCAGCACGTGGATGGGCTTGACAGCACTCCAGCACGTGGATGGGCTTGGCAGCACTCCGCCTCATTCACAGGGGGACGCTGCTCCAGGAGGGCGCTGTGGAGCGCTTGTTGTATTGCCATGACGCCCCTTATCAAGGCACAGATTGTCGACACGCCGCTACAAGAAGCTTCCTGCGTGCAACACATGCTTTGCTCTCATGCTACTTGTATTCATTGCCATGCTTTACTGGGTTATGGTAGCCCTTGCGTCCTTTCAACAGCCGCCTGAAGTATGGAGCTGAGGAACGAGGTGAGAAGATGAAGTACCCAGAAACGGCTCTCTGCCCCACACTCTCTCTCAACCCGCCAACCCCATCAGGTGTGCAACGCTGTGGCGGTGGCGGCACTGCTGAACGCCACCCTGGTGCTGCCCACGCTGCTGCTCAACAGAGTGTGGAACGACTCCAGGTGCCGCCACACACGCCCTAACCTTCGACCTCTCCCACCTGTTATCTGCATACATTCCTCTCTGCTCCTGACCTTCCCCCAGCCCCCTTTTTTCTGCCTTCTCATGCACAAACCGTGCCTTCTCGACTTGCATTTTTTTTAGGCCCTCCCCTTCCTCCCATCTTTGTCAACTTTCACCTCCCCCCTTTCTCGTGTCAACCCGCCCATCCGTGCAACAACCCCCCTCCCTCCCGCAGCACCTTTGGCGACATATTTGATGCGCCCTTCTTCATCGCCCACCTCGCCCCCTTCCTCCCCGTCGTCCCCACCCTCCCCCCCAACTCCTTCCACGTGCCGCCCAACTACTTCCCTGCACCGCCCCTCGCCGTCCGCCTGCGCCGCCTCACCCGCCTCTCACTGCATGTGGCGGCTGGGCTAGCCACGGGGCGGCGACCGCTGCTGCCGCCCTACGTGCTGCTGCCGCCCAAGATCTCCCCGCCCCAGTGGGCGAGTGCGGACTACTATGTGGCGCATGTGGGGCCTGCGCTAAGGGACATAGGGTGAGCATGGGCATGGGAGGTGGGGCTTCCTGTAGCATGTCATGGGATGGGGCATGAGCGGTGGTGCAGGGCATGTTGTGGCATCTGATTGAATGGCATGGCATTCATTATATATTCCACTTCATCCACCTTTCCCTACTTCCAACGTCTCCTCCTCATGTGGCCCTCCCCCACCGTCCCCCACCACTCTCCCCCCGCCCATCAGAGCAGTGCGCCTCAACCCATTTGCCAACCGCCTCTCCTCGCGGGGTCTGCCCCTGTCGCTGCAGCGCCTGCGCTGTCGCTGCAACTTCCACTCGCTACGCTTCCTCCCCCCCATCCGCACTGCTGCCCTCACCGCCCTCCACCGCCTCTCCGCCCACGCCGCAGCCGCCGCCGCCACTGCCGCTCGCTCCGCTCGCTCCTCCACTGGGCCGCTCGCTCCGCTCGCTCCGCTCGCTCCTCCACTGGGCGCATTGCCTGCTGTTCTGCCCACGCGCGCCCACTCGCCGCGTGCCTCCCTGCTGCCATGGATCCCCCCTCCAGCACGGCGGCGGGGGCAGGCGGCGTTTGTGGCGGTGCACGTGCGGTTTGAGAAGGACATGGTGGCGTTCTCGCGCTGCTCCTTCTCCTCCTCGCCCGCCCTGCACCGCGACCTGCAGCGCTACCGCGCCTTCGCCTGGTCCCGCTTCCACCACAGCCCCGCCACTGCCGCGTGGGAGTGGCTCAAGGCTGCTCTGGGATGGGGGGGGCAGGCAGCGGAAGGGCAGGGGGGTAATGCAGGAGCCATCGGGGGAAGCAAGAAGAAGGGGAGCAGTGGCAGTGGAGAAGGGGCAGAGGGTGGGGGCGAGTCAGCGAGGTCATTGAGAGAGGCGGGCCACTGCCCACTTACACCACTGGAGGTGATGTGACGTGCTGCCATGGCAGTGCCGCAAGGTGCTAAGCGTGTATCCGACTGCCGTGATTGTATTGCGCTTCATATCCGTGCTGCCTGCTCACATGCCAAAGGGACATCGTGAAATCACGCTCCATGAGATCTCTTTCCTCTTGCGTTCACGCTGCTTCACCGTGCTCCTGTGCCTTTCTCTCTCCTTGGTTCTTTACCAACAATCCACCCATGCACCCATGGCGTGCAGGTGGCGCTGTTCATGAGAGCAGCGGGCATATCACCCGCCATGCCGGTGTTTGTGGCGTCAGGCGACCTGTACGGGCCCAAGCACCTCATGGCTGCCTTCACCGCGCTCTTCCCGCGCACCCTCACCAAGGCACACCTGCTCTCGCCACCCCAACTGAGCCCCTTCCAGGTCTGTGCTCCCACACCCTACCTGGGCGTGTGGATGTGTGTGCTCACACGGACGTGCCTAATTGTTGGTGTGTGTGAGTGGCTTCGAATGAGTGTGTAGGTGTAGGTCGACTGTAGAGCTCTTGTGGATGCGTCACGTAGCCATTATGCTTCCAAGCGCAGGAAGCATGAGGAGTTGATGTGCCATTGGAAGTCCAATCCAAGTCCAAGGGATGAAATGCGTGGTGGTGAAGGCTTGTGGTCCGTGGGAAACGAGAACGCTTGTAGGAGATCCTTGAACAGGAGTTGCATGCCATGCTGCTCTGGGCGTCCGCGTCCTCTGTCCTTGCGTCAGCCCACGAACCTCCGCTTTCCCATCCCCTTCTGTGCTGCAATCTTCACTCTCCCACTCCCCACCACCTGTCATCTCCAGCCTCTGCTACACTCCCAATCCCACCCGCATCATCCAATTCAACAACTGTTGGGGCTCTTACCTGTGTCATGACCATCCTACCCCTTCGCCCTCACCCTCCCACCCCACACCCCCCTCCTTGCCCACTGCTGCCGCCAGGGCCACGCGTCGCAGCTGGCGGCCATAGACTACCTGATAGCGCTGCACGCACCGCTGGTGGTGCTGTCCCACGGGTCCAACTTCGGCCACGTGCTCACGGGGCAGCGCCGCTACCTGCACACCGGCCATGCGCGCGTGCTCAAACCCGACAAGCGCCGCCTCGCCCAGCTCTTCACCCACTCACACCTCAGGTGGGGTGTAGGGGGGTGGGGGAGACATGTGGGAGGGCAAGGGTAGGGAAAGGAAGGTGGGGAGAGAGAGAGGGCCAGGGTTGGGAATGGTGGGTGGAGTTGCTTGTTGTACCGCTGCTCCCAGCATGCTGTGCTGCGAGTCTTCTTGCTGCTCCCAGCATGCTGTGCTGCGAGTCTTCTTGCTGCTCCCACCCACACTTGCCTCTCATACCTCCTTCCAAACCCCCCTGCCCCACAGCTGGGCGTCCTTCCGTGCATCGGTGCATGCACTGGTGAGGGCGGGCAGAGAGGCCGAGCACAAGGTGGAGAGGGGACAGGTGGGCGAGGATGGGGGGGATGAGAGCATAGAGGCGAGGGAGCGAGTCGAGAATGTGACAGCGTTGGAGGTTGCACGTTGGGGTGTTGGGGAGGGGAGGCAGCAATTAAGGATGGATGAGGGTCGTCGTCAGAAGCAAGATAGTGAAAGGCGGAAGGGGAGAACAGGCAAGGAGAAGGAAACTGAAATTTCTCCATATGTTATACCCCAGAGGTACTGTATGTGTGTACGGGATTTAAGTAAAGCTAGTAATGAAGGTGCTTCTCCATGAAGGCCAGTCTAGCTGTCAAGCCAGGCCCTACTTAAGTAGGTAGAATTTCTGGTCTGGAGGTTGTCCCTGCTATGAGCAGACTCAAAGGATCCTCATTATCAAACAACCTTTGCCTACTTCATTTTCAGACACAATATGGGATTACATTTATTTACATAAACTCACTCAATCTGATGAATTGGAATTTTAATACGGTATATGTTTTGTCAGTTTGAAAGTTTGCGTGGATACTAGACCTTGGTTTATATCAACAGATTTATCCTTAGTACCCGTAAGTATTGCTGATGTACAGAAACGAAACGCGTTTACACAAAGTTTGCACGGGCACAGGGTCTGCCGAAGTCAGTTGAAGGATGCCAGGTCTTCGCTTCACATCAGATTGCTCATGCTATCTCCTCGCCAACGCATGCTGGTGAGCCAACTATTGATTAGTGTCAGCGCTACGGGCGAGGATCCGAGGACCTTTGACTGCTCCGCGATTGCGATTGCGCCAGCGTAGCTCAACGACTCCAGCCGTTCCATTAACCGCGTTTTCCCAGGGCGTCTGTCGCATGTGATGTACGGGATCGAGCACTGCCGGGGACGACGCCAGCGATGACGAGGTGAATCGCGGCGCGCTCAAGGGGCGGCGGAGTCCAGCAGCCGCGTGTCCTCCCGGGCTGCGGCACGTCGATTCTCCTCGCCGCGCGACCAGCCTCACCCTGTGGCGCCACTGCCGCTGAGCTGGACGGCTTTTGTAGGAGGAGTGAGCATGGCCGTGCGACTGTCCGGTCAGCCTTGCATCACCGCGCCTCTAGTTCCGCTGCTGCTGCTCCTGCTGCTGCTGCACCTGCTATCGCTGCACGTACAGTCGCACGCCATACACGCCACTGCCAGCAGCACGCAGCGGGAAGCGGGCTCGCAAGTGACGTCAGCGCAGTCCCGTGAAGCGACGCAGTCCCACCAGGCGGAGCACGCGGAGGCGATCGAGCCGTCAGGGCGGTTAGAGCGATTAGTGCGGGCAGGGGGAATAGAGGGGTCGGGGCGATTGGAGGAAGCGGTACAGGGGCGCTGGCAAGGAGTGGGGCACGGTGGTGGGCGTGGGTGGGTGATTCGGGGAGCGCGGAGGAGTGGAGGTGCGGTGTTGAGCGCAGGCGATGTGGAGCAGGGGACCTTTGAGAGACCTGCACGCAGCAGGAGCAACGGTGGCAGTGCGCAGCGCCGCATGCGAGGACGCGCAGCACGCCAGTCATGGCGAAGCGAGCAGCAGCGGCAGAGGTATCGACGGCGGCTACTGAACCTTCCTTGGTCAACGCAAGGCACATGGGACGTGACAGCACGAGCTGGTGAGCACGGAGGTACTGAACGCACACATAGAGCTCCTCCACTTGCTGTATCCCACATGTGCCCCATGCACCCCCCGTACACTCCCATGCACAACCCAAGCACACCACATGCACCCCATGCACCCCCCATGCACTCACTCCCCGTGGTTAGCAGTGATCCACATCGTCACCCTTCACCCCGCTCTGCCTCTCCATTATCTCCTCCCGTGTTCTCCCTTCCCGCCATGCATGTCCGCCCCCTTG